GCCTTGATTGTTGTAGCTAATACTGGGGGGATTTGACCTCCAGGCCAACTGGCTATGAGAGTCAGCTGTGTCTGCAGTGGGAAAACTTCTGTCCTCTGGGGAGGTGCTAATCTAGCCTTTGTCTGAGGCTATCTGGCAAATGGCTCTGTGCAGGGCTTGGGCGGGGCGGGTCGCACTGTATCAAACAGGGCGGGCGGAGCGAGCAGTTATGGCTACTCTCAGTTCCGTCCCTAGGTGCTCTGCCTCACAGAGTCCCAGCAACCGCTGCAAACCTCCGAGAGAAAGCTGCCTTCGAGTTCTGACCGAAGCCAGACAATCCCACTTCTCCCGTTTGAGTCTGGGTCCCTAGAGACTCGCCCAGATCTGGAGCTCAGAGTCTGAAACTCCCTCCCGATTGAAAACAACAACCGCGCCCTCCGCCGCCAGCCCGCTCTGTGCACGCACTCCGCACCTGAGTATTTCACTTCAGCACTGCGCCTCCTCTGAGTCTGGGTATGATATTAACTTTCCTCCTAGTTGTAGAATTTCCACTCAGCCAGCCTTCCTGTGGTTCTGGGTGGTGTTCGTTCTGTCTTTTAGGTGTACCCTTGAATTGGTTGTTCGAGGCAGCAATCTCCGGCATTAACCTATGCCGCCATCTTGGTTTCTCAGGTTTATTCTTATACATGTCACTTTATTTGCTAATCATTTCTTCTTGCACCTAAGACCTTTCACATAGGTTTATTTTTCCTTCTTCATAAAGTATATCCTTTAATATTTCTTTTAGTATGTTTTACCAGTCTTGATCAATTTTTATTTGTTGAGAAATGTCTTTATTTCACCCTGGTTCTTATAAAACCTTTTTTCTGGTTATATGGCCAAATATGGCATCTAGCACGCTGAAAATATCATTCTACTCTCTTCTGTGTTCCATTATTATAGTTTTTAAAAAGTCAACTGTCAGCATAACTGTTGCTTCTTAGGGGTTATCTGTCTTTTCTGTCTGGCTACTTTTAAGATATTTTTATAATGTGTGTGTTTGCATGTATGTGTGATCTACAATTTTAGTATAACATGTCTAAAGGTTGTTTTCTTTTTATTTATTCTGCTTGAGATTCATTGAGTTTATTGAATTTATGTATTTTATCAGTTCTAGAACATTCTCCACCATTAACTCTCTGAAATAACCTGGAAGCCATTTTCTTTCCTCTCCTCTGGAAGTCTGATTAAATATTATATTAAACATCACACACACACACACACTGATAATTCTAATAACTGAAGTTTGTAAGTGTAGTTCTTACAGTTCTTGTTGATGGTGCCTTGTTTCTCCGTGTGCTTCATAATCTTGAATATGTACTATTAATTGTCCTTGAATTTTTTAAATAAATCTTTATTGTTCCGATTATTACAGTTGTACCTCTTTTTTCCCCCCATAGCTCCCCTTCACCTGGTTCACCTGGTTCCCAGCCTACACCATGCCCTTACCCACCCCCACCCCCCATTGTCCTCATCCATAGGTGTAAGATTTTTGTCCAATCTCTTCTGGTACCCCCCACACCGCCTCCCCCCCCCCACCCCCGCCCACCAAGAATTGTCAGTCTGCTCTCTTTCTATGCCCCTGATTCTATTATATTCACCAGTTTATTCTGTTCTTCAGATTTTTTATTCACTTGATTTTTAGGTTCACTTGTTGATAGATATGTATTTGTTGTCACTTTGTTGTTCATAAGTTTTATCTTTACCTTTTTCTTGCTCTTCTTAGAGAATACCCTTCAGCATTTCATATACTACTGGCTTGGTGGTGATGAACTTCTTTAGCTTTTTCTTGTCTGTGAAGCTCTTTATCTGACCTTCAATTCGGAATGATAGCTTTGCTGGGTAGACTAATCTTGGTTGTAGGTTCTTGCTATTCATCACTTTGTATATTTCTGGCCTGCATAGTTTCCGTAGAGAAATCAGCTGACAGTCATATGGGTGCTCCCTTGTAAGTAACTGTTTTTCTCTTGCTGCTTTTAATATTCTCTCCTTGTCATTTGCCCTTGGCATTTTAATTATGATGCATCTTGGTGTGGTCCTCTTTAGATTCCTCTTGTTTGGGGTTCTCTGTGATTCCTGGACTTGTAAGTCTATTTCTTTCACCAGGTAGGGGAAGTTTTCTGTCACTATTTCTTCAAATATGTTTTCAATATCTTGCTCTTTCTCTTCTTCTGGCACACCCATAATTCTGATGTTGGTATGCTTGAAGCTGTCCCAGAGGCTCCTTACACTATCTTCATATTTTTGGATTCTTTTTTCTTTTCCGTTGAGTGTTTTTTGCTCCTTCTAATTTCAAATCTTTGACTTGTTTCTTGGGATCCTCTAGTCTGCTGTTGGATCTCTGTATATTATTCTTTATTTCAGTCAGTGTATGCTTTATTTCTGATTGGTCCTTTTTCATATCCTTGAGGGTCTCACTAAATTTCTCGGAGGTTTCTAGAAGATTCTTTAGTAACCATATAACCATGGTTTTGAGCTCTATATCCAGTATTTTGCTTTCATCCATTTCTTTCATTTGTGACTTGTTTCTTTGCCTCCGCATTTGGGCTGCTTCCCTGTGTTTGTTTCTATGTACTGGGTAGCTGCTAAGTCTCCTTGAGTTGATAGAGTGGCGTTGTGTGGTTGGTGTCCAATAGGGCCCAGTGGCTCAGCCTCCCCAGTCACCTGAGGTGGACGCTCTTTGTGCACCCCTGTTGGATATTTGCACAGTCTTGTTGTAGTTAATCCTTGATTGCTGTTGGTATCACTGGGAGGAATTGACCTCCAGGCCAGTTGGCTGTGGTGTCCAGCTGTGTCTACACTGGAAGATCTGTTGCACAGGATACACTCTTATGGGGCAGGACTTGCTTCAGTGGGGCTTTGGTGCTCACTGAGTCTTCCCCTTGAGTGTGTCTCTTATGGATGTGAAGAGTTGTAATCTATTATCATCTCCAAGGAGGTGCAAGGTCAGCCACTGTCTGGGGCAGCCCAGCAGGAGCTACAGAGACATCTGCAGATTCCTCTTCTTTGTATGGGGTTTGGAAGTGCCCAGACGAGGCCCAGCTGGGACTCAAGGCTGCTGCTGCTACCAGGTATTGGGCCTTCTTTTGGAATCTCTGGGGCTCTCTGACCCAACTGCAATTTGTTTTAGGAGAAAGGACAGGCAATTCATATGCAAAAGCTGATGCATACAGCTTGGGTGGGGTTGTAAATTGGGGGGGGGGGGGGGGGCCTCTGGGAATCACCAGGGCAGAGCAAACAGCAACAGGCTTCCCTGAACTGGAGAAGTCCCTGGTTCTCCACATCCCGTGTACCCATGCAGGAACAATGATTGCTTCAAGCACCTCTAAGCGTAAGCCACATTAACGTTCCTGTCCCAATGCCAGACAGTCCAGTTTCTCCCTATATGTGTCTGGGTCCCCCAGAGCCTCGCCCGTAACTGGAATTCAGAGCAAGCAGGAGCTTGTATCTCCCTCCCGGTTTAAAGAACAGCACATCCAGGTGCCAGCACTTTACGCGCCTCCGCACCTCTTACCAGTCTCAGTGCGCTTTCTTCACTTCTCTAGTTGTAGAATTTCCACTCAGCCAGCTTTCCCGGGGTTCTGGGTGGTAGTTGTTCTGCCATTTAGTTGTAATTTTGGTGTGGCTGTGAGAGGCAGCAAGTATAGGTGATTACCTAATGCCGCCATCTTGGTTTATCTCAATTGTCCTTGAATTTATTTGTGGTTTCATGGGGGTCTAGATGACCTTGCCTTCCTTTAGAGAGCATTCACTTTTGCTTCTGTCAAATGTCTGGAACATTTCCAGTTTGGGAACATTTTCTCTCTCTCCCTTTTTTTAAAATATATTTTTATTGATTTCAAAGAGGAAGGGAGAGGGAGAAATAGAAACATCAATGATGAGAGAGAATCATTGATTGGATGCCTACTGCACACCCAACACTGGGAATCAAATCCACGACCCGGGCATGTGCCTGGCTGAGAATCAAACCATGACCTCTTGTTTCATAGGTCAATGCTCAACCATTGAGCCATGCCGGTCGGACTGGGAACATTTTCAAATAAAATCAGAACTCAAAAGCTTGGGGTTTTTTGTTTTGTTTTGTTTTACAATTCAGTTGGTACTGTAGTTGAGCTACAAAAACACTTGAAGATTAGCTTGTAGGGACAACAGCCTAATGACTTTTCTAGCGTCTTGCTCTGCTTAACAGCAACAACAAAAACATCTGAGAAGGGTAGCAGGGTTACTAATGGCTCGCCCTTACTTTCAATGTATGGTCCTCTGTAGTCCCAGCTTAATGGGCGGACAGAATCTCTTACTGAACTTTACCCTGAGTGGGCCTGGCCTTTGAATTCTCTTCCTCTCACCTCTAGGCCATCAAAGCCTCAAGTTTGCAGGTGTCCTCAGGGCAAAACCTAAGAGTTCAGAGGAGAAACCCCAAATAGCTGGTTCTTGGGTCTCTGAGAAGGGGCACAGCCTGGTGCCCAGAGGCAGGAGCCTGTGGATAAGGCCTAGTGCATGGTTAGTACTCCGAGGGCAGGGGGCTGTGGCTGCTGGCAATTCTGAGAGGGCACAGCCAGGCTGGTGCCGGGAGCTACATCTCTTACTACCATTTTCCTTCCAGTTTTAGCTCCAGGGACGTCATACTTCTCATTTTCAACACCAACATGAGCCTTTGTACAGACTTTCCTCTGCCTGGAACACCATTTTGGCTCATCTGCCTGGTGATGACACTGTTCAATGTCACCTTCTCTGTGAAGTCTACCCCACACGCAGTCGTGGCGCCCCCTTGTGGTCCCTTCGTTTAGAGCTGGGTGGAAGGACACGTGCAAGTCTTGGACCAAGGGCCTTGTTGTTGCCCGACCTCTCCCTGCTGACCTAAATGACGGAAGGCAGCGTGCCAGCTGAGTGCGTGGCTGCACACTGTGGCTCAGGGGGCGCGGGGGCTGTGCCTGTGGGCAGCTGAGGGCACGTGTGGGTGGCAGCTGTTCCGATTAGTCAAAGGGAGCGCAAGCGAGAGAGGCCGGATCTCTCCCCCATTAGCTTTGCCATCGCCTGGGACTTGCAGCTCCACCTTGGGCCACTTTCAGCCATGAAGCTCCTTTTGCTGACTGTGACTGCACTGCTGCTCTTGTCCCAGCTCACTCCAGGTAGGTCACCTTTCAGAGCCGTCTAGAGAGGGCACCTTCACCAGCAGGTGCCGATCTCAGCCACGCCATCACTGCTCCCCAGGGAGCGTGCCCAGGTGGCCTAGCACCATGAGAGGGAAGGGAAGGGGTGGGCCAGAGAAGCAGGAAGAGCAGAGGACAGTAGAAATAGTCCCCAGAACCATCTCGCTGTGTGAAGGTCACAACCACCGAACCAGGAGAGAAAAGCTCCTGTTTCCTATTGCTGTCTCTGTGCCAGAGCCTGTGTGGGGAGCCAGGGTCACAGAGGTAAATGGCACGGCCCTGGGGGCGATGACAAATACCATTTACAACCCAGAGTGACTCCAGCTGTGATAAAGGGAGCCAGGAGGCTGGGGTGCACATGGAGGGGGGACCAGCCCAGGCTGAGGGCCAGGGGCATCCTCCCAGAAGAATCCCCCCCACATCCTGAAAAATGTGTAGAAGACAGAAGGGGAAGGTGGAAATCGAAAAGGTGCCCGGCAGAAATCACCGTATGTGAAGGTCCAGATGTGGGAGAGATCACGGTGCCTTTAGGGAGCTGGCACAAATGGAGGCGTGGGTTAGGGGCGTGGCGAGGGGTAAAGCTGAGGCTGGGCCGGAAATGCCTGGGAGGGAGCCATGGGAAGGCCTACGGAGAGAAGGGCCATCATCAGACTTGCCCGTTCCACCCACCCCAGCAGGAGCTACCTGGCCCCTCCTGCTCAGCTGCCAGAGCTTCTGCTACCCCCAGGCTTTCCTCTAACCTTCCCAGGTGTGGGAATGTGTGAATTTCCTCAAACAAGCTGCCCTCACTCCTTGTATCTGCCTGTGGGAAGATGCCTGAAACGGCTCACCTGGGTAGAGAGGAAAGCCCCGGAACCTGTTAGAAACTGCCCAGCTTTTTCTCACACTGGGACCTCCAGCAAGCAGCCCGGCTGCTCCGTTTCAATGTCCTCCTTCCTCGAACTGCTCCCATAGTGCCTGTGTAGCAAGGTCAGGTTGAGGGAACAGCAATGAACACACTGACATTTTGGTGTGCAAAAACAGGTAGCTTCTCTATTCTGTGTAACTCATCTGAGTTCCCCCTGGAACTTCCATCATGCTGGTGGGACAGTTGGGAGGCAGATGGAGCATAGGAGCTGTGCCTAAACCCAGCAGTTAAATATTCATCCTTTCTGGTTTAAACTGGTTACCAGGTTCATTCTGTCCCTTTGAATAAATATTCGGTCTTTCAGCATTTTTCCTTTCTTATGCTCCCCTTCTCCTTCCCAGAATAGAATTGGGTTTAAGAGAAACTAACTTGATATGTCATGATTTCATTAATTGGTTCATTCAGGAAACATGGTTGAATAGATTGAATGTTCCAGGCAATGTGATAGGTACAAGAGAAAGAGCAGTGAACCAATCAGAACAAAGCAAGATAAGCAAAATCTCTGTCCTCTTGGAGCTTACATTCTATTCAAGGAGACAGAAAAAAAATTGAAATAAATGAAACATATGGAATGTCAAATGATGAATATAATGAACAGAATAGACAGGCAAGGGGAATAGCAAATATGAGTGGGGTGGACTTTTCATTTTAAAGATGTGCTCATGGGATGGCCCCATTGTGACCTGAGGGGGGCTAAGGAATAAGCCATGTGGGTTTTTGGGGTAGAACATTCAATCTGGGGGTGCAAAGGCCCTATGTCAGGAGCATAAGGAATTGGGATAGGGTCCTATGCTGAACCTTCACTGGATTTTAGGACAATGTCCTTCATTGTTTATGGTCAGTGAGTGTCCTGCTGGCACTTGCTACTGGATCCCGTGGCTGATAAAATCTCAGTCCTGTCAGAGTCCCACTGGCTTAGCCCTTGATCTCAGCCAAATCTTCCATCTGGCCCTTAGGTTTAGTCTGTTCACACCCCTTCCCACTGCCTCATGCACAGAGGTCTCCTCTTGAAAAGTCCCACAGGCTCTTAGCTTCTCACTGGTTTTCCTAACCAGAAACACAGAGAATTAGGGACCTTCTGGTCTATTTAATGCCACAAGAAAGCAGAGGGAGATACTCAGCCATTTCCAATCCTCCTCCAGGTGGCGCCATGATGTGAGTGCCCAGTCTGTTAGCAATAACTGGGCCATGCTCAGGCAAGGAATGCTGGCCGTTTGTCCAGACCAATCTGGGTGTTTATAGCAAATGATTGTCTTACCCCTACTTTTCTCAAATTAGTTGTCTCTACGTCCTAGGACCTAGGTTGACCAGCAGGCCAATAGTGGAGAAGGGGTAGAAAACCTTGATTTCTAGCTTGCTGATAGGTCCACCATCAGCCTGGCCGGCCGAGGTGAAGTATGAGGTTTTAGTGGAAGTCTCAGGCCTGTAGCTGCTGCTGTTACTGCAAGAAGTGGATTTAAGTGCCCACTTTCTCCTAGGGAGAGCATTTCCCTTCTACTTTCTGTTGGGTGTGATGGTGGCAAAGATTGAATGGAAGTTTCTCTAGTCTTGCTATGAATTAAAACTACTCATCTCATTTAAGCAATGACTTTGTCATTCTAACTGTTCTTTACTATTTCTCTAAAACCCAGGAAGAGCTTAATTCTGCTTTTTGGCAACCAAAATGAAAGAAGAATGAAATATATATTACTTTAATATTTTCAAACTATGAAAGTTAGGTTAATTGTGGAAATTTTGGACATATATATGAAGCCTGAGAACCCGACAGATATTAGATTTAGGTGGGACATGTCACCTACTTTTCTACTATCCCTCCTCATAGCACCCAGAGTTCTTCCTTTATAACATTCATTACAACTCTAGTCAATCAAATATCTGGGAAGTTATTTCTTTAATGGCTATCCCACCACCACCACCAGCACCACTAGACTGGAAATTCTAGGCAGTGTCTATCTCTAACCTGTTTCTAGTTGTATCTCCAAAACAAATATATTCTCAATCTACCCATGTGAGTATTTCTCTAGGATAGACATCTGGAAAGAAAATTCTGTTCCTAATATTAAAGTGTGTGAGTCATTGCTAAGTAGCTTCCAAGGAGGCCAAAACCAAGTGTATAAGACCATCTTTCCTCTCACTATCACCAACAGTTCATCTTGACACTCTTGAATTTAAAATTGAGATTTTTATTGCAATGGTTTGGGGGTGTTGTAAAATAAAACACAAAACTACAGCTTATGAAACCACATAAAATGAATGCACAGCTTAATGAATTGTTATAAAGCACACAGCCTAGTAACCACAATCTAGATCAATAAATAAAACATTGACACCCACAAAAACCCCACCTGCCCCCATCACAACTATCTCCCTTCCCCAAATTAAGCAAACTCTTGACTTTTACCAGTATAGCATTCAAGTCTTTGCATTTTCTTTATGGTTTCATTGCTAACGATGCATCCCTAGACATCCTATTTTTGTCATGTCCACTTTAAAAATCTGATGTCCCTTAAGATTATTTAATGTACTGGTTACATCTTCATCCCTTTCTTGTCTTTAGAATTTATCTGGTTATCTGGCATGACAGGATATTCCAGGCTCATCTTGTACAACTCCTGCTGCAGAACATGAAAGCCATTTCTTTAAGCTCTGATTTCTAAAAATAGGAAAATGGTATTTTTAAAACTAGAACTATGATCTAGTGCTAGAGATATTCAATGCTACTAAATTGGTCCTTTCTTTTTCTTTTCAGTAGACAGAGCTAGGAGAGAAAATCAACACATTTAAATGTATATAAAATACCTCATGAATTCATATTGACACTTTCTATTCAAAGTGAGGACTACAGGATTTGTAGTCAAAATATTCCATATTCCTCCTGTCTTTTCCTTCTTCCACGCCAACATTCTTAGAGACACTGTGTACTTCTTCAACTTCAGCATTTTCAAGTCATCTGTTATTTAAAGAGCATCCTGAATTATGGTTTGAGCATTTTTTCTGATATCTTGCTCTGCTTTTTCCCCTCAAGGTCTCTTCTTGTCTCTGTGTTGAATCTCCTTTGCCTATCGTCAATGGTTGTCACTTTCTATTGAATTTTTCTCTTGTTTCTTTTTTTATCATTTTTACTGAATTCAAATTTACATAAAATAAAATGCCCACATATATAAGAATAAAAGCCTAATATGCTAATTAGACTGGACGTCCTTCCGGATGACCTTCCGGACGAAGCCAGGGCTACAAGAGAAACCCGGGTCCCGGAAGCCGGGGGAAGGAAGGCCTACTCTTGCACGAATTTCGTGCATCGCGCCTCTAGTTTTAAGTATAAAATGTCAGCTTCAACAAATGTATATATTCATGTAACCACCACCACGATCAGCATAATACATTTCCACCATGTCCCTTTGCAATCAGTTACCTCCCCTACCCCGCCCCCACCCCCACCCCCAGCCACCAGCAACCACTATTCTGTCACTTTAGTCTGGCCTTTTTGAGAATTGGGAAAGACAAACAAGCTCATAAAGTTGTAAAATAACTCTCACATGATCGAAATCAGCTAGCTCTGAAGGTTGTCACCTATCTAGACCAGGGACTATTGACACTCTTGGCAATTATTGGCATTTGGGGCTGGATAATACTTTGTTGTGGCTGTAGCGTGCATGGCAGGATGCTTAGAAGAATCCTTGGCCTCTACCCAGTAATTGCCATGGTAACCCCAATACCACCACCACCGGTGGTGACAAATAAAAATGTCTCCAGATGTTTCATTACCAAACACCCCCTGGGGGGCAAAATCACCCAGTTGAAAGCACTGCTCCAGATAACACATAGTTTTTCATTGAGCACAAATTTTCCCCCATTTTGGCCAAAAGATAATCTCAAAGAAAACTTATTCTTGATCACAAAATAAATCTGGTCTAAATCTTTAGCAGAAAAAAGGAAACAACAAAGAGTAAATTATAAATTAATGAAATAGAGAGTGGTCACGGCACCAAACTGTCTAAAGAAAATAATTCAATTGAGACAAATAGAGGTTACAGTCTTTATTCAGCTGATGGACATCAGGGAGCACCTGAAAACCCAACTCTGAGCTGGCTTGGAGTTTTTATTGAATAAGGAAGAGAGGGATAATGTCATTGTTTGGCTTGAGTAGCAGATTTCATCTTTAACTGCTGCAAAACTTGTGGTTGGAATAGTTGGGAACTGTTCCAGATTTTTGTGCCTCATTGTTGATGCCATTGGTACAATCCTACCCCAACACTGTCCAAACAGTTCTTTTGAAAGCTATTTTTGTAAGCCTTGTAGTTTATTGGTTAGCCAAGATTCTGGGACAGGAAAGGTATCAAAAATAATATGGGTAGATTATTGCCTGGGGCTCAGGGGAAGGGAGAATGGGGAATTATTGTTTAATGGATATAGTTTCAGTTTTACTTATGGGGATGGATGACAATTATGGATGCAAAACAATGTGAATGTATTTAATGCCACTGAACTGTACACTTAAAAATGGCTAAGATGGTAAATTTTATGTTAAGTGTATTTTACCACAATTAAAAACAAAACTAAGTATAGCCACCTTCTTGATGAGGTGCCTTGGCAAAAACAAAGCAAAATAAAAATCTACACTAATAAAAGAGAAACATGCAAATTGGTGTCACTCCACTATGCCCACCAGCCAATCAGAGCAACTATGCATATTAACCCAACAAAGATGGTGGTTAATTTGCATACGCAGGCATGGACCGAAGACTGAAGGCTCCGACCGGAGTGAAGACTGAAGAGGCTTGGCTTCTCTGCTGTGGCCACAGCAGAGAAGCCAAGCCTTGCTGCAGCAGGAGAGGGAAAGTCAAGCCTCGCTGCAGCTGGACCAAAGGCCTGGGTCCCGGGTGCCGGAGGAAAACCGGTGCCAGCAGCCAGGGGAAGGAAGGCCTATTGCACAAATCTTCATGCAATGGGCTTCTAGTAAAATTATAAACAGAGTGATGGAATGTTAACAAAACAGAAAAGTAAAAAAACAATATGGAAAAGACAAACAAACAATATGGATGAACCTTAAAAGCATCATGCTAAGTGAAAGAAGCCAGACACAAAAGGCCACATATTTTATTATATGACTAGAGGCCCTGTGCACAAAATTCGTGCACTGGGGGGTGGGGTTCCCTCAGTCCGGGAGCCCTCAGTGGATGTCCTACTGACGGCCACAGTCTGGTAGCAGAGGCTCAGAGCAGGCGTCCCGTGTGTGTGTGTGTGTGTGTGTGTGTGTGTCCCTGCTGGGGGTCTGTCCCCAGCCACACCATGGAGGCTTGGAGCAGGCACCCTCTCTGTTGATCTCTCAGGCTCCTGGCCTCCACTGCGTGTTGTACTCTCCCTTGAGCTGTGGCCAGGGTGGGGTGCTGCCTGCAGGCCGCCCTTTCCTGCTCTGGGATCGCCATGGTGACCCAGGAGCAGGCCTTGCTGGGTGCTGCCTACAGGCCGCACTTTCCTACTCACTGATCGCTGGATCGCCAGGGCACCTGGGGTCAGGCCCTGCTGGGTGCTGCCTGTGGGCGGCACTTTCCTGCTCTCTAATCACCATGGGGTCCCGGCTGGGGGCGGGGGTTAGGCAGCACGATTGCGCCGCCTGAGCCCCGCTGCCCAGGGCCGCACACAGGGCCCGGATGGCAGCTCGCGCTGTCCCGCCCTACCTTCAGTATGCAAATTAGCCACCATCTTTGTTGGCGGCTAATTTGCATGTCGTGCTGATTAGCCCATGGGAGGCATAACGAAGATACAGTCAATTACCATTTTGTCTATTATTAGATAGGATTCCATTGGCATAAAATATGCAGAGTAGGCAAATCTATAGAAAGGAGGGCAAATTGGTGGTTGCCCAGGGCTGGGGTGGGGGAGGGAGGGGGGCATAAGGATACATGGGTACAGGGTTTCTGTTTGGGATGATTTTGAAAGTTCTGGAACTAGATGGTGATGGTGGTTGCACAACATTGTGAATGTACTTAATGCCCCTGAACTGTACAGTTTAAAATGCTTAAACTGGTGCATTTTATATTATTTGTACTTTACCACAATTCTTTTAAAGGAAGGGAAAGAATAAAAGAGGAAGGACAGCAGAGGAAACTGAGGATCGTCTATCATATCTGTTTTAATCCTTTTTATAAACCGTTCAAATCCAGAACCTATCTCTTCTTAGGACTGACATTGTTTCCATTCTTCTTTCATTTTTCGTGTCAGGTGGCACCCAAAAATGCTGGAATCTTCTTGGCAAATGCCGCCACACATGCTTCAAAAAGGAAAGGATCTACGTTTACTGCACAAATAGTAAACCGTGCTGTGTGAAGCCCAAGTATCACCCAAAACAACATCCCTGGTTATTCTGAGTTCTCTGAAGCCTAAAGCCATAAAAATACAGATGGAGCTATCCTGAGTCTGAACCCCAAAGATTCCTGAATTCTATCAATAAACACCTCTGGCTGATTCCTGTGTTAGCCTGTCACTCTACCTTGCCCCTACCCTACATCACAATACCTGTTAATATTTCAAACAAAAGATGTTCAAAGTTTTTATGCAGAAAATTAGAAGCCCTTATAGAAAGCCTAAATTAATAAAGAGATATACCATGTTCATGAATTAGAAGACTCAATATCTTAGAGATGTCAATTCTATACCAATTGTTTCCTAGATTCAATTAAATTCCAACCAAACTCTTTCTTTAAAAATATTTCCCCCAGAATTTAATCAAAATTGTGCACATATAAGCAAATATTTTGTTAGAGACATAGACATAGATGACAAAACTATTAATAAAGCACAAATGTAAGTTAATGGCTAACTCTAGGAACATAGGAATTGAAAGAAGTAGTGCTGATATTCTATTTTTTTAATCAGGATGATAGAAATAGAGATATTTGTTATCATTGTTTTTATACTTTTATAAATTTTAGTATTTTTGTCTTCTCAATATATAAAAATCAAGCTTTTTAAAAAAGAGAGATAAAAGCTATGAACATTAAATGCCTTAAGAATTGTAAGACCAGAAAAAATAATTAAAAAGCTAAATCAGTCAAAAAGTCCTAGAAAAGAAAATATTTGAAAATTGCACGTCGTATACAGGATTTTTTCCCCAAAATATGTAAAGAACTCTCAAGATTCAATTAAAAAAATAAAGGCAAACAACCCAGTAACAAAATAAGCAAAGAGTTGAACTGACACTTCACCAAAAAAGCTATGTATGTGGCAAATAAAAACATGAAAATTTATAAATATTGGAGAAATGCAGATTAAAATTACAATACAATATTACTGCACACATATCAGAATGTCTAAAGTTAAAGCAATTGACCTTAGCAATTGTTGACAAGGAACAAGTATTGTCAACTGGAACTCCCAGATGCTGCTGGTGGGAATGTGAAATAGTACCACCACTTGGAAACAATCGGGCAGTTTCCTAGAGAGTTCAATGTACCATATGTTCTAACCATAACTGCACGCTATAATGATTGCGCAATGATGAAATCATCTAACAATACATTTCTCAGAACATATCCCCATCCGTAATCAATGCATGACTATTGTGAAGCTAAGAAATTTTTTACCATGTCTTACATCTATTGCACCATAATCCTGAAAAACATATATTCATTTGTTCATTTTGTCATATGCAAATATCTGTTGATCAGCTAACATGGGCTTTGCCATTGTGGGGAGTCTACAAATTTGGGGGGAAAGCATTAAGCAAGAAATAATTTCAGTCCAACCAGCGTGGCTCCGTGGCTGAGTGTTCCATGGAACCGGAGATCACAGTTCCATTCCAGGTAAGGACATATGCCCAGGTTGCTGGCTCAATCCCCATTAGAGAATCCCCAATGATTCTCTCTCGTCATTGATGTTTCTATCTCTCTTTCCCTTCCTCTCTGAAATCAATAAAAATAAAAATAACAGCCCTAGCCGGTTTAGCTCAGTGGATAGAGTATTGGCCTGTAGACTGTAGGGTCCTGGGTTCAATTCCAGTCAAGGACACATGCCCGGGTTGCAGGCTCGATCCCCAGTAAGGTGTGCACAGGAGGCAGACAATCAATGATTCTCTCTCATCATTGATGTTTCTATCTCTCTCTCTCCATCTCCCTTCCTCTCTGAAATAAAAAATATATATATTTTAAAAAATAAATAAAAATAACAAAAGAAATACTTATAATCACATACGATGGAAAGGCTATGAAGAGTATAATAATTGAGAATGGGGGGGGGATTATGAGAGCGCTATCAGGGTAACCCTCTCTCTGAGGAGGTGGCATTTGACCTGGGATCTGCAGGATGAGAACTCATTTGCAAAGAGTTGAGAGGGCGTTTGCAGAATATTCCAGGTAGATAGCATGTGCCTAGGCCTTTTAGGAGGCGAGGGTTTGTTCCAGAGACAGAAAGAACGACAGGTGGCTAAAGCCTGGTGTATAAGAGGAGAGATCCGCCAAAACCGGTTTGGCTCAGTGGATAGAGCGTCGGCTTGCGGACTGAGGGGTCCCGGGTTCGATTCTGGTCAGGGGCATGTGCCTGGGTTGCGGGCGCATCCCCAGTGGGGGATGTGCAGGAGGCGGCTGATTGATGTTTCTAACTCTCTATCTCTCTCCCTTCCTCTCTGTAAAGAATCAATAAAATATATTAAAAAAAAAAAAAAGAGGAGAGACCCAAGATGAGTTAGACAGTGTGGTAGACCCCACAACACTGGATTGTGTTTGGATTTAAACATTTACTACATTATGTATTGAAGTAGAGGACTGTCTGCCTTACCTCCAATCGCTTCTATTTACTCATTGCTTCTGCTTCCTCAAATTATGCTTTCCTCCACCCTTCCTCCCACAACCTACAGCACTCTTGACTTTTATTAAGGCAACTTTTCAGCTTCAACTCCAATTATGAACTACGTTATTCCCTATATTTCCCAATTCAAACCCTTGTAACAGAGAATCTGATTGACCCAGTTCAACATTTTCTTACCAATCCATCTTGTGTGTAGGTTGCTGGCCAGGCTATAGAATTAGCTTGGTTTGGGGAAGTGCCCACCTCTTGTCCAGTCAGCTGCGTCTGGGGCATAGAGGAGAGTGGCTTCCTGTTCTGCATATACCTGTCATTTCATCCAGGGCTGCTTGCAGGGCTGGAAGCGTGTGAATGGGAGGGACCTGCACAGTGTCCCATGCATTCACTTTTCCGTGTAGCTTCGCAATGAACTTCTACAGGAAAGAATATGTCGCTCCTCGCCTCATGAAGCCCCGAGCCCCTGTGCTTAGAGGGAAATGAACATCAATAAAACGTGGGCCTTCTTGGTGGAAATCTGAGGAAGGGGACAGCTCCCCTCTCCATCTCCTCGTGAGGTCCCACTAATCTGTTGGTGAGAGCTTGATTTTCACTGGGGGTCCTATTAGACCAAATGCTTCCTTTTCATAATAAATATTTTGCAATGCCCCCTTTTTGTCCTTAAAATAGGATTCATAAATATTTTTTATTTTTTTAAATATATTTTATTGATTTTTTACAGAGAGGAAGGGAGAGGGATAAAGAGTTGGAAACATCTATGAGAGAGAAACATCGATCAGCTGCCTCTCGCACACTCCCTACTGGAGATGTGCCCGCAACCAAGGCACATGCCCCTGACCGAAATCAAACCTGGGACCCTTGAGTCCGCAGGCTGATGCTCTATCCACTGAGCCAAACCGGTTAGGGCAGATTCATAAATATTTGACCTGGCCAGTTTGACTCGGTGGCATTGGCCCATGGACCAAAGGGTGCCGGGTTCGATTCCTGGTCAAGAGCACGTACCTCAATTGCAGGTTCCCCGGCCCTGGTGGGGGTGCATGCGAGAGGCAACCCGTCGATGTGTCTCTTTCACATCAGTGTTTCTCTCTCTCTGTCTTTCCCCCTCCTCCCTCCCTTACATTCTCTCTGAAAATCAATGGAAAAATATCCTTGAGTGAGGTGTTTTTTTACTATATTCATAAGTATTATAACCTATCTACTCACATAATTTCAAGAAAAATCAAATTAAGAGCTAACTATAATATAAAGGAGGAGAAACTTTTATGATAATATGTATTCTGACATTTTAAGACCTAATGAAATAGTCAGATCTTGTACCATACACAGCATGAGTGTAACAGCTACAAACGCAGGCATAAAAGGGTGTGCTGTGTGTACAGCTCAAATACTACCCAAAGCATTTGCTGTCTGTGTCCTGACTTTCCAAAATGGTGAACATTTTGGGCCAAGTCCTGACTAGAACACAGTATAAGCATCCCTTGATAATACAAAACAGCCTTTGATTCTAGGCCGGAGAATTATCCTGAGTCCCCAACCTACTAAATTCCAGTAGCGGCCCCATTAATTTTAACAATTAAAAAAAAAATTTTTTTTAAATGCCACCAGCATTCCCAAAACAACCTCTAGAGGGCAGTATCTCTCCTTTGATGGAGCCATTGGCAGCGTTCCCTTCCTGGGTTGTCTCTCCTTTCTGAGACAAGAGCAGCTGCGTCACAAGCACATGTCACTTGCCCAAATACAACTACATGTGCTCATACAAACAGAGGGAAATAAGGTTTTCAGAGGTTTTTTGAAAAAAAATTTCTCACTTTTTAAGTCAAGTTAGTTTTGCCTTTCTATTTTGTTGTTGTTTGTTAATTCTCACCCGAGGATATGCTCTCCATTGATTTTTAGCGAGAGAAGAAAGGAGGAAGGGGAAGGGGAGAGAGAAACATCCACATACCTACCAGGGGATCAAATCAGGAATCAAACCCCAGCTCTTTGGGGCGCAGGCCAACGCTCTAACCACTGGGCACACCAGCCAGGGTAGTTTTGCCTTTCTTAAACTTCATATAAATGGAGTCATTTAGTGTGTACACCTTTGTATTTGACTTCTTTGCCTTAACATAATGCTTTTTAGATTAATTCATGTTATGTGTATCAGTAAATTGTTATTGTTGTTTGTTGAATGGGATTGTACCATATGGATGAAACTCAATGTATCCATTTACTTATTGGACCTTTGAGTTGTTTCCAGTTATGGGACATTATAAATAAAGCTGCTATAAGCATTAATAGAGAAATATTTATATGTGCATATTTCTATTTAATTTTATACGTAACTCTGCAACTGTTTTTCCAAAGTGGTTGTCCATGTTACATTCCCATCGCAGTGTATTTGCATTCCAGCTGCTCCATATCCTCACCAGGACTTGCCATGGCCAGCCTTGCTTTTGTTTTAATCATTCTGGTAGGTGTGTAGTAGTATCCCATTGTGGTTTTAATTTGCTCTTCCCTGAAGACTAATGATTTTGAGAATCTTTTCATGGGCTTCTTTGCTACTCACATACCTCCTTTTGTAAAATGTCTGATCAAATATTTGCCCACTCTATTATGGAGCTTTTTCTGACTGATTATGAGTTCTTCGTACATTCTGGAAATGAGTCCTTTGTTGGAGAGATATATATGTATATATTGCAAACATGAGCAATCACAGTCCAAAGAAGCCGAAGGAGTCCCTCCTGGAGCCAGAGCCTGAGTGGAGACGAGAACTGACTCGGTTTCCATTACAGCCAGAGCACCGGGCAATGAAGGCGTCACACTGCACTGTGGGGTCCCACTGGGGAGAGAGATTTATTTTTCATAAAAATGGCCCCTAAACGTAACCAATCAGTTCCTTTGCTTTAATGTGTTCCATTGATTGAGAAAAACTTGCTGTGTTTGTCAGTCTCCATAAAGGCACACTTCTGAGTGGTTTTCAAGGGTAATTTGAGCCATAGGTGATTGTCACCTGGCTCTCCAACATAAATGTACTGGTAATGCTGGTAAAATGAACAATTCCACTCAACACTCTGCCATCAAAACCCCAAGTGGGACCCTAGCTGGTGTGCCCAGTGGTTAGAGTGCTGTGCGCGCCCCCCCCCGCCCCTCCCCCACCCGCTCAGAAGAGTCTCGAGTTTGAATCCTGCCAAGGGCATGTACCTGGGTTGCAGGTTGGATCCGAGCATGCAGGAGGCAACCAATTGATGTGTCTCTTTCACACTGACGTTTCTCTATCTCTCCCTCTTCCTTCCTCCCTTCCACTCTCTCAAAAAAAAAAAATCAATGGAAAAAATATCTTCCAGTGAGATTAACCAAAAACAAAAAACAACAGCAACCCAAGTGGGGAAGAGAGTGAGGAGTCACCATATCGTACCTGACCTCCTACGATAGCCATCATTTTAACTCCCTTGTTCTTTTCGTGTGAGCCCAAAGGGAGCCATCTGATCGCAGTATGAGAAGCTCTGCTAATCTCTACTCCAACAGGAGAATCTCAATGCATGTGAAAAATGCATATAGATTTATATAAATTATACATCTTAAATATGTCCATGGAAAGGTACCTATATATAATATATCTATATCAAATATATAGATATCTATATCCATATGGATATATTATACATACACACACATACACACTAGTTTATAAGTTTTAAATATATATATATATACACAGTCAAATTTTCAGTAAAAAATTCATATATAACTTTTGACTCCCCCCAAACTTAACTACTAATAGACTACTGTTCACCAGAAGTCTTACTAAAAACGTAAACAGTCGATTAACACTTTCTTAAATGTTATATGTATTATATACTGTATTCATACAATACAGTAAGCAGAAAAAAGAGTGAGAGAAATGTAAGGTGAAATCAATTTTAGTTTCTTTGTATGGTTTTTTTAATATATATTTTTATTGACTTCAGAGAGAGGAAGGGAGAAGAGAGAGATAGAAACATCAATGATGAGAGAGAATCACTGGTTAGCTGCCTTCTGCACACCCCCTAATGGGGATGGAGCACGCAAGCCCGGCATGAGCCCTGACCGGGAATTGAACCGTGACCTCCTGATTCATAGGTCAACACTCAACCACTGAGCCACGCTGGCCAGGCCAATATTTGTCAGAAATTGAAAAAACTGGGTGAAGGGCTTATGGGGATTCTTTGGACTACTCTCACAGGTTTCCTGTAAGTCTGAAATGACGTGGAGAAGACGGCTAGTGGCACTCCTCTTGCCCAGTAGAAGTGGTAGCAGTTGTAGCATTTCTTTGACGGGGCACTTACAAGGTGCCAGATGATCTCATCTGACCCCTCAGCTGCCCCATTAAGAGCTGTCATCGAGCCATTTTGCAGAGAAGAATCCCGACATCAGACACAGGAAGGGACTTGCCCTGATCGCACAGCCTGTGGCCTGTACCTGGCAGAGCTGGAGTCTGAACTTGAGTCTGTGTGACTCACTCCCAGGAATCACCACCATCTTCTCTGCAACAAGGACACAAATGCCCTCCAACTACATCTGAGACTGTGCAAAGGAAACCTGGCCTCATCACACTCTGTAGAGCAACTGAGCGGGCGGGGTCAGAGTGCAGAGCTAAATTTAGTTCAATCCAGTTAAAAACTTGGTCTAATTCAACAACTTAAATATTCTCTTGAGGTTTCTTGAGTTCGGAGAAACTTGGTCTCTGTATAATTGCTCTGTCTTTCAGATGCCTCCTCTCCTCCCCCTGCTCCTCCCAATATGAAGGCTGGTCAGGGTGGGAAGATTCCATGGTGGGTGCAGCTGCCATCTGCTGGGATCTAGGTGGCTTGAGCCAGCCACTGGCTTTCAGCGATGGCTGGTGCCTGGTGAACTGGTCTGGCCTCCTGCGGACTCACTGAGGCCTAGTGGAGATGCAGCTCGCTGTGACTCTGAGGTCATCTCTGGGGTTCTTATCTTGTCCTGTTCCTAGGCTTTGAATCCATGACCACCTTGCCCCCACCAGGCTGGGTCCTAACACAGGCCTCGTGGCTCCCAGGTCAATGTCTTCAGAACCTACGGGAGGCTCAAAAGCAGGGCTGAGATGCAGGTGCACGCTTTGTTATTAGGTTAATTGAACGCTCCCCCCTGGCTTCCCCCTGGCTGGGAAAGAGCTGCATCTCCCTCCTCCCCTCCAGCTGCCTCTGGCGTATCCCCAGGTCCCTCTCATACCAGACACTAAAGCAGCGGTTCTCACCCTTCCTAATGCCGCGACCCTTTAATACAGTTCCTCATGTTGTGGTGACCCCCAATTTCATTGTGACAAATTGAACATAATTAAAGCATAGTGATTAATCACAAAAACAATATGTAATTATATATGTGTTTTCCGATGGTCTTAGGCGACCCCTGTGAAAGGGTCGTTCGACCCCCAAAGGGGTCGTGACCCACAGGTTGAGAACCGCTGCACTAAAGGGTTAACACCTGGCACAGCAGGTCCCCTCCAAGACTCTGCTCAGGCCCCAGGCTCCACATTCCTCTGATGGTCTGACGTTAGGTGTTTTGAACTCCCCCACTCCTTTCGCAGCCTGGCCACGCAGGGTCCCTTCTCTCCCTCCACCTCTACCCCAGACTTCTCTGAAAAGTCTGAGGACAGTGGACCAGAGCTCCCCACCCGTGGGGTTCCTCTCAACTTATCCCACACGCCTGCCCCCTTCTGGGCTCGATCTCAGGGTGAAGATGGAACAACACTGAGGGTCTCTCAATGGCCTTCCTCCCAAGTGGAAGTCTATGCTAGAGGCTAGAACAGCTAAACCAGTGGTTCTCAACCTTCTGGCCCTTTAAATACAGGTCCTCATGAGGTGACCCAACCATAAAATTATTTTCATTGCTACTTCATAACTGTAATGTTGCTACCGTTATGAATCGTAATGTAAATATCTGATATGCAGGATGGTCTTAGGCGACCCCTGTGAAAGGGTCGTTCGACCGCCAAAGGGGGCGCGACCCACAGGTTGAGAACCGCTGAGCTAAACACTTCCTCCCCGGCCTTCACTGCATCAGGAGCAGCCATGTGACCCAAGCTGGGCCGTGAAAGGTAAGACGTCTGTGAGGGAGCTTCCAGGGCAAGTTTTTGTTTTCCTGATAAAAGTGAGAAACTACCCCGTGCCAACCCTCCCCCCGCTTCTTGCTTTAAAGTTAAACAATGATATGAGGCCTGAAGTTATGTGACCCAAGAGGACCCCAGAGATGCTTGCCCTGACATGGTTGCTACCTACCTCCAGATTTTCTTTTAAAATCCTCACATGAAGATATGTTTTAGAGAGAGGGAGAGAGAGAGAGAGAGAGAGAGAGAGAGAGAGAGAAGAATCGATCGGTTGCCTCCCATACTGAGATTGAACCTGCAGCTTAGGTATGCACCCTAACTGGTGACTGAACCTTCAGCCTTTGGTGTAGGGGACAGTGCTCCAACCAATGGAGCCACCCAGCCAGGGCTCCTCCTCCAGATTTTTTTTACGTGAGAAAAAGTAGTTCCTGAAAATTGAGTTTTCAGTTTTTTCAGCTAAACTCAATCCTGATACAGGAAGATTAGAATGCGTGTCTGTCTGCCCAGCTCCCCGACTCCGCTCAGGCATCTCCCTGGTTTGCTGTCCCCACAGTTCCCTGGGCCCAGGAGGGCCGAGTGTTCCTCTATTCCTCCTCCCTGTTTACGTGAAAACTTTGCTTTCATCAAATCCTTATTTTCTACCTGGGCAGGCTCTTAAAATGCTAAGACAGAAGATAAAGGAACATAGAAAAGTCCTTTCACTCTCAGTAGGACCTACCTTTCGAGCCTAATGCACCACCTCATTCTGCATGCCAGAATTGTGGCTTTAACTCTATTATTAATTCTTAATGTAATTAACTCACTTTCTTGATAATTCTTGTGATTATTACAATTAACTCCTATTATGAACTCTGCCTTTCTTCTTGCATTCCTTCTATAAAGTCCAATCTCCTGATATGATAATTATCCCTGCTTCATGGATAAGGAGACTGGGGAGGCTGAGGGAAATTGAGCAATTTTTTTCCCAAGTTGGACGGAGCAAATGTGATACAGGCAAGACCGGAGCCATTTCCAATGGTCATTAATGCCCGCTCTCCTCGGGCACTTCACTCCCTCCACCAACCACCCCCCATCTCTTCTGTATCCCGGACCGCCCCTCTCTCCCCTCCCCAGCCCGGAGGAGGTGGGGGTAGAGGGCGGTGAGCAAGAAGCAAGAGGAGACGATGGGCAGCATGTGTTTTATGAAGAGCAAATGTGCCAGCCCCGAACCGGCTACACATGGTCGGGCTTATGGGGCGCTGGCGGCTTGAGTCCATAGGGGATACAGCACAGGGAGGCATCGGGGCACAGGTGCATGAAGGTTTCGTACTTGGTGCAGTAAGTGCGGCAGGCTCCTTGGCCGTTCCAGCACCGTTTGAATTCGCTTCTCCCTGTGGAGAGGAAGACCACAGGTCACAGGATAGCCCGGGGGTCACAGGTTAGGCCACTGTGATCGTATATAACCACAGGTCAAAGGTGAGGCCACGGGGCCAGGTTAGATCATAAGTTACCAGTTCGCTTTCTAGTTATGTGCTAGATGGCTGGTCATAGAGCCGTCCACAGCTCATAAGTTAGGCCACAGTCAGTACATGAGCTCTGACCACAGGTCAAGGGTTAGACTAGAGGTAACGGGCTAGACTCCCAGAGACAACTAGCTACAATTTAGACCTCAAATCTCAGTTCAGGTTTAGCCCACAGATCACAAGTAAGACCACTGGTTATAAGTTAGAGACCAGTTTCTTGTCCAGATTAATCCATACCCCAGGTACACTCGAAGCACTTTTCAAAATAACACTCTATTATTGTAGCTGGTCTTTCATTAACTGTATAACCACCCCTGTTATACACTTAAGGAAACTGAGGCACAGAAGATTAACAACTTTCCCCACGGTTACATGGCCATTGAGGAGCAGGGTGAGGATTCAAACTCAAGCAATCGGCTCCAGAATCCAAACTCATAGCCTTAACATTACCTGCCACACACACTTAACGGACCTGTTTAACATTAAAACTTAGCGGAAGAATTTTCGTAAATGGTAAGGTGTTGGGGGCCTAGGGCCTGCACCCTCTCTGAGGGTCTTTGGTCACAGCAGGCGGGTGGGGAAGCATCTGCATTTATTCATTCAGCAAACATGAGGCACTGGCCGTAGAGGTGGTAAGTGCCCGGAAGGAAGGAATGGGTGACTGCCCATTAGGGCAGGTGTGGGAACATGGGTGCGAGGAGGAGCACTTCTACAAGGCCTGTCTGTCACAGCGATATTTCTACACATACGACCCAGCAACTCAGAAGAACTGGGGCTGAATGGGAGGTGGAGGGGAGAAGTGCCTCTCCCTGAGTTAAAAGAGAGTCCTCAGAATCTTTACATGATACCGTGGGTGTTATTCAGCCCTGTCAACCGGCCCATCCTTTATCTTGCCAAGGTAGAGAACTTAGCATGATACAGAGCTGATCTCAAAAGCTCCCTGAGGCAGAGAACCCACACGCTAAAGGGGGTCTGCAGTATACTGATTAACGGGGTGGTGTGCACCCAGCTCAGACCCCCTGAGTCCAAATTCCAGCTCTGCCATTTCCCAGCCGCGTGGCCTGGGCCTCAGATTCCTCATCTGTACATCCCTCCTTCAGAGGGCAGTGAGAGGGGCTTTAATCATTTTAGCACAGTGGCTGGCAGGGAGTAAATACTCAATAAATGGCAAGTGATTTCATCAGAATGACAGCTTAGCAAGTTGAAGCAACCAAGGCTCAGTCTAGGCCAACCCTCTCATTTTACAGATAAAGAAAGGAAGGGACTTGCCCAACTTCTCCGGCCCAGTAAGTGGTGGGGCTGGTACCAGAACCCAAGACCGTGACTCCCAGCTGAAGGCAGTTCCTACAACAACTACTGTTAATCACATTTCAACCTTCCAACCATCCTGAGATACAGCCACTATTTTCTCCCACATGATCTGCTATCCCTTCCTTTGACTTCATCTCCCTCCACCTTTCTTCTTGTGCTCCCCACTCCAGCCACACTGGCCTCCTCGCTGCTCCTGAAACATGTCTGTCTATCTATCTATCTATCTATCTAGCTATCTATCTATCTATCTATCTATATATCTATCATCTATCGCCCTCCTGCCTCCTTCATCCTTGCTGCTCCCTTTGTCTGGGATGATCATCCCTATATAATAAGTCCTCACTTAACATCATCAATAGGTTCTGTGACTTTAAATGAAATGTATAAAGACATCAAGTTTACCAAGGGCTAATTGATATATACAAGAGTTAAGTTCCCACAGCACCTCATCAGCCTTATAACCAAACAATGTTAATCAGAACCTGCTGTATTCTCACTGTAGTCAGATCCTTGCTCAAACCTACCTTATATAAAATGATAAGAGATCTGAAATTTACTTCAAAATAATTCACTGGGCAGAAGGGGCAAGTGAACAACAAAACAGGATTGGTTCAAGTTGATCATTGTTGAGGTTGGGTAATGGATATGGGGAGTTTTCTATACCATATTTTTAGGTTTGAAGTTTTCTCAAATAAAATGATTTTTAAAAAAAAAAAATAAACCTCACATCATTACGTTTTTCTCTATTTTTGCATGTTTACCTTTTTCCATAATAAAAGGTTTTTTAAAGCTCACTTGTTCCTTATATTATTCTGTCTACTTTCAGGTACATTTGAACTAAAAACTTAAAAAAAGAACTTATCAGCCCTAATCGGTTTGGCTCAGTGGCTAGAGCGTCAGCCTGGGGACTGAAGGGTCCCGGGTTCGATTCCGGTCAACGGCATGTGCCTTGGTTGCGGGCGCGTTCGCAGTGGGGGGTGTGCAGGAGGCAGCTGGTCGATGTTTCTCTCTCATTGATGTTTCTGATTCTCTATCCCTCTCCCTTCTTCTCTGTGAAAAATCAATAAAATATATTTTTTAAAAAACAGAACTTACCAGAGGCCTCTCAGCTCTTCCACCACCCCATGCACACACCACACTAACCCTTTGCCCTGCGTTTATTCTTCTTAGCCCTTATGACCGCCTGAAAGAGTATATGTTTATTTGGTCCTTTTCTGTCTCCACTAACTAAAATATCAACTTCATGAAAGCAAGGACCTTGCTTTCTCTCACTGCTGGATCCACAGCCATTGTACCAGTGCCTGGCACACAGTAAATATTTTTCAAATGAACATTTGTCGAGTGAGTCCCATTTTAAAGATTAGGAAACTGAGGTGCAGGCTGATCTAGCAGCCCCTTCTAAGCTGCTCAGAAAGCCAGTGATGGGGCCAGAATTTAAAGATTGGTCCAGGCCTCCTCTCTTCCCCAGGAGGTGAGAACCTACTCCTTGTTTCTACACACACACACACACACACACACACACACACACACGATGTTACCTGGAGGCACATGACCCAGGACCAGGAGAAACACAATGAGCAGAAGCAGCTGTGTCATGGCCACGGGGCTTCTGGGAGGCCACTGGGGAGAGAACAGAAGAGGAGAGGAGCCAAGCCCACCAAACCTGGCTGCCTGGGGCCCAGCCTTTATTCAACTGCAGATCAAGGCAGGAGCGTGGGCAGCAGGAGACTTAAGTGGGAGTCTGAGGCCTGTGGTCTCCAGGATGCAGCTGGATCTCAGCCAGCTCTGTGGGGAACTGGCTGGACACGCTTCCAGAGGTTGCTGAGCTCTGAAACTGGGGACAGAATTTCCTGAAGCAATGTCTGGGGTCAGAAACTAGACAGCTTCCCCACCTAAGAGGGTAGGGAAAGCCTTGGCTTCAGAGAGACCTGCTTCAATGCCAGCAACTCCCTCTAATTGCTGTGGTACCTTGGACAAGTCTCTTAGCCTCTCTGAGCCCCAGGCTATCATCTAGGAAATGATCGCAAGCCCCCCTTGCAAAGCTAAATGCATGGAGGAGTCCCTTCCTGAAGCCAAGAAGGTGAAACCAGAACTCACTGAGCTGTCCAAACAGCACGTATTCAGGCCTATGCAGGAAATGAGAAGAGTAATAGTTCCCCCCAAACAGAGAGTAATTGTTACCTAGCTCATTTAGACGATTACACAAAATAATACAAAGTGTGGCCTGGCCGGTGTGGCGCAGTGGTTGAGCGTCAACCTAAGAACCAGGAGGTCACAGTTCAACTCCCGGTCAGGGCACGTGCCCAGGTTGCAGGCTCGATCCCCAGTGTGGGGTGTGCAAAAGGCAGCCAATCAATGATTCTCAGTATTAATGTTTCTATCTCTCTTTCCTCTCTGAAAGTAATAAAAATATATTTAAAATAATAATAATAATAATAATAATAATAATACAAAGTGTGGCACCCAGGCCAGCGAGCAGCAGCAAGAAACACCTGAGGCTTGTTAAAAGTAAAAATTCTCAAGCTCTGCCCCAGAGGTTCTCAACCTGTGGGTCGCGACCCCTTTGGGGGTGGAAGGACCCTTTCGCAGGGGTCTCCTAAGACCATCAGAAAACACATATATAATTACATATTGTTTTTGTGATTAATCACTATGCTTTAATTATGTTCAATTTGTAACAATGAAAATACATCCTGCAGATCAGATATTTACATGACGATTCATAACAGTAGCAACATCACAGTTATGAAGTAGCAACGAAAATAATTTTATGGTTGGGGGTCACCACAACATGAGGAACTGTATTAAAGGGTCGCGGCGTTAGGAAGGTTGAGAACCACTGCTCTACCCAAACCTACTGAACCAAAAGCTCAGGAGTGGGTCTCAGCAGGCTGTGGCTTAAGAAGCCGTCCGACTGATTCGAGCATATTGCTAACGTTTGAGAACCCCAGAGATAGAGCATATGTGTGCAGAGCTTAGAACAGCGTCTGGTACACAGGCATCTGAGTTGCATCTTGAAAGATGAGGAGAGGAAAGTATTCCAGGCAGAAGAAACATAATGTGCCTGGGAGTGTGGGGCATGGCCAGAGCAAGGAATGTGTTGAGAGGAGATTGGAAATGACCCTGCAAAGGACAGTTTCTTTTTAAAACTCACATCATTACATTATTCTGTATGTTTGCATGTTTACATTTTTCCATAATACAATGTTTTTCAACAGCTTGTGTTGTTTCTTATATTATTCTTTCACTGTCATGTACATTTGAAATAACAAATTTTTAAACTTTTTCGAGACCTTTCACCTCTCCCACCACCCCACCTGCACCGCTATGCTAACCCCTTGCCCTGCTTTTACCAGTATTTACCATGGGCCTTGAGTACTGAGTTCAGGCTTTTAGACACTGGAGTTTTGTAGCAAAGGTGTAACCTGTTTAGATTTCAGTTTTATTTTTTAATTTATTTTGTATATATTTTTTATTGATTTCAGAGACAAAGGGAGAGGGAGAGAGAGATAGAAACATCAATGATGAGAGAGATTCATTGATTGGCTGCCTCCTTCACGCCCCCTAGTGGGGATTGAGCCTGCAACCTGGGCATGTGTCCTTGACCAGAACTGAATCCGGGACGCTTCAGTCCGAACAAAGGCTGGCACTCTATCCACTGGGCAAAACCGGCTAGGGCTTTAATTTATTTTTTTTATTAAATTTATTGGGGTGACGTTGGTTAATAGGATCATATACGCTTCAAGTATACATTTCTATGATACATGACCTGTATATTGCATTGTGTGTCTACCACCCAGTCAAATCATCTGTCACCAAATATTTGGAGATTTGAGTTTTAAATAAAGAAACAGAAATCCAGCCCTGGCGGGGCTCAGTGGTTAGAGCACTGGCAAAGAGTAGAGGGTTTGATTCCAGTCAAGGGCAGGCACTCAGTTGCGGGTCCCCCAGCCCCCGTGGGAGCACCTGTGGGAGGCAACCAATCAATATGTCTCTCTCACATTGATGTTCTCTCTCTCTCGCCCTCCTCCCTCCCTTCCAGTCTCTCTGGAAATCACTGGAAAAAATATCCTTGGGTGAGGGTTCTTCCTCCCCCACCACCTCGGGTGAGAATTAAAAAAGAAAGAAACCAAAATCCAAAGAACAGAGGTGGAGCTGGGACTTAAACTTGCCTCACTCCCAGACAATGTATGACCCTGCACCACTCCCAGCCCATCTTGTAGGTGGGGAAGGAAAGCCAAGCCACAGAAGGAAGCCAGGCGTGAAGGGGCTCAGCTGCTGTGGGAGTTGCCCTGAGCTGGACACTTGGACCCCTTCAGCCATGACAATGAGCCCCACCCACAGGTACAGCCAGTCTCCAGGGGCCTCACATACACACCTGCTCCAGTCCCTCATGACCTAAACGGAAGCGCCCTCCCCAAGAGCTTAGAACCTGGCCCATGGATGGCCGAACTCACCTCCCTACAGCCAACTTCTCTTCTATAACCAAGACCACAGTGTGTCTTTCCTCCTCCTACATTGCTGGGAAAAGATTTTTTTAAAAAGCTACAAACCCGTGATAGAAAGGGACAGTAGGCTGAGAGGCCCCTGAGTCTCAGGCCCAGGTAAGCCTGGGTATGTTCATCCTTAGTGTTGCTTAGGGATTAAACGAGCTACGAATTCAGACCATACCAGGCGGGCATAAGTGCTCAGTAAATATGAATCAGAGAGTGGGCAGCCATTCTTCCAGGTACAGGACAGCCCTAGCTGCTTAACCTAGAATGTGGTGAGTGAAGGAATGATGCAAAAATAAGGTATCCAGAACTCCCCAGTGCAGACTTCCTGCGCCCCCCCACCCCCTCCCCTCAAGCCACCTTCCAAAATCAATTCTCCATCCCTGCAAAGCAGAGTTTCTGGCAGTGGAGCCCGCGAACTCTGCACCAGGATCACTTGGCACTTGTTTAAATCGCAGATCCCCGAGCCCCTCCCAGGGCTGCTGAATCTGTCTCGGGTGGGCCTGGGTTCTGAACAGCCAACAAGCTCCCCCAGTGGTTTCTGTAAGGACCAAGGTCGTCGGGGCGCCCCATTGCTGGAGCGGGTAGTTGGGGGTGCACAGATGGCCCAGACCCACTTCCTTCCTCTCTCTGGGCCCCACCCCAACACTGCCACCCCCACCCTCGACAAAGGCCGTGAGGGGCGGGTCAGCTGACCCCTGCGTGGAGTCACTCAGCGGCCAAGGCCTCGGGGCGGGGACCCCGGGGCTGTCCCGCTGGGGCGGGGCTGGACGGGGCGGGGTCGCGGCTCCTCCCCCGCCGGGGCGGCGGGGCGGCGGGCGGGACAGGCCGGAGGGGCCGCGCGCCGAGGCGGTGGTACAGCCTGGAGCAGCCGGCAGCTGCGGGCCGGGGACCCTGGACCCCTCCCCAAGCCGAGGTAACGGCCCGCGCAGCCCGCCGCCAACTTCGTCAAGTTGGAGCGGAGTTCGCCCGGCGCCCGCATGGGGCGGGGGGTGGGGGGACGGTGTCCTGCGGGCAGGCGGGGACGAGGGGGGCCTCGAACTCACATCCCAGGGGTGAGGGTCCTTCCAACTTGGGGCCCAGAGGGTTGGGTAGCCCCGGACAAGAACCCCGCCCGGATCAGGGGACTCACAACCAGGGCCGCGGGCTGGGCAAGTTGGGACTCAGACTCGGAGAATGGCACACGCACTCCCGGCCCGGGAGCGCCCCTCCCCGCCCCCTGCCAGGACCCTGTCCCGGCACCAAGCCTGGCCCCCCGCAGCCTCGGAGCCCCCGCCCCCCCAGCAGCCACTGGAGGCAGTGCCAGCCGCTGCTGAATTTTTCACGTAGGGGGCGGGCCGGACACGCCGTTCCCATGGCACCAGGGCGCTCGGGTTACCGCCGAGGGAACCCCCGGACCCCCACGCGCTTCAGCGTCCCAGCCCACCCATTCCTGCCTCTTCCTCAGCCCTCTTGAGGCGGGGCAGCGGAAGTGACCCCTCCCCAGGGGCCCTTACCCCTCCTCCACACCCCTATCTCCCAACCGAGGGGAAGAGGCCTGGGGGAAGGGGCGTCCCGGGTAATTCACATCCTTTCAGAGCCTGGGTCTCGTGTTCTGCGTGGGAGAGGCAGGTCTGTGCACACCGTGTGTGCATGCTCGTGGGGGCATCACCTCGCTGCTGCCCCTCTGCTGCCCGTGGGGGAGGAGATCATCCTCAAAGCACAGGAACCGGCCTCTGGGTGTGCACATATGTGCGTGCACAGCTTGCACACTCACCCTCCCAGCCTGACCCAGGCAGACCCTGGGCCTGAAGCCGGGAAGCCCCCACCCCAAGGAGGGAGGCTCTGGAGGAAGCCACCTCGGGGCCCTGCAGAAGGGGCTCAGCGCACCTGCTCACCGCCCATTCCCCTTCTTACTCACAGAAGGAGGAAGGCAGGAGCCAAGGCCCCCTCCCGAGGATGACACTAAACACGCAGCAGGAAGCAAAGACGCCCCTGCGACGGCGAGCCAGCACCCCGCTGCCCCTGTCCTCCCGGGGCCGCCAGCCTGGCCTGTGCGCAGCGCCTTCCACTTCCACTCAACCCCGGCACCCACGCCTGGGCCAGTCGGCCTCCCTCAACCCTCCCACCCAGCAGCCTTCACCTGCCCCCGACGGCTGGTCCTCTGAATCCAGCGACTCGGAGGGCTCCTGGGAGGCCCTCTACCGCGTGGTGCTGCTGGGAGATCCTGGCGTAGGGAAGACCAGCCTGGCCAGCCTCTTCGCAGGGAAGCAAGAGCGGGAGCTCCATGAACAGCTGGGAGGTAGGGACACGGGGCTGGGCTGGAATGTGGCCAAAGGAGTGATCAAGGGCACAAGGCTGCCAATAACAGCTGTACAACTCATGCACTGCTCAGCTCATAGGGGCGTCATTCGCACAGACTATGACGTGGATATGCCCCCCTAGAGTTATGCAGGGCACAGCTTGCACAATGGCTGTGGGAGAGAGATTCCTTGAATAGTGAGAACTTTGCCAGTTTTCATGGGTGAGAGATATGGGGTTGAGTCTCAAGTATAAAGAAATGGTGGACTTCCACCTCGCTTAGAAAGCCCTAGTCCCGACTCTCCCCTGACTCTCGGATGACCCCAGCTCCATAGATAACCACCCATGGCCACCACGTCCTGTGGCAAAACTAATATCCTGCCCAAAATGGAGACTCTCAGACTCCAGGTTCTGGGCCCTGGGTTCCTTTATTCCCACAAGATGCAGTGAGCAGGGGCCCTAGGATGATGGGGGATGGGGATAGGGCAGAGGAAATGAAGATAGGTTTTCACAGGACTGGCCGAGAGGACTAGGGTAAGTGGGGTGGGGAGTGGGTTAAAAGCAGAGAGAAGGTGAGGGGCACTCTAGCCAGGCCCTTTCTCCAGGCTCTGCCTTTCTGAGGGTGAGAACCCATACGAGACGTGTGCATATATGCATTTGTAGGTGTGACAGACAAATGGGGAGACTGAGGCCCAGAGAGGGCAACATGACCTGCCTGAAGTATACAGTAAGCCTGGGACAGGGCAGGACTGGAGAATTCCCAGCCCAACTTTAACCACCCCACACTCATTCAATCAGCAACCACAACCACCAACGCTGTCTCAGTACCTACTGTGTGCCTCATACCATGCTGGCAGCTGGGGAGACCGGAGCTCCTCCTCCTGGAGCTTCTTGACCTATCAGGAGACACAGGCATCACATGAGTGTGGTGAACACTTCATGGAGAAGTAGAGGGGGTGCAGTGACCATAAAGAGGGGCTAGGGAGCCACACCCTCCCCAGGCCTGCCCTCCTCCTGAGATCCAGCTCTTCCCTCCGTTACAGAAGATGTGTACGAGAGGACCCTCACAGTGGATGGAGAAGACACCACACTGCTGGTCATGGACACCTGGGAGGCTGAGAAACTGGTATGGCCCAAGCAGGATTTGGGGAGATGGGTGCTGAGCCTAGAACCAGACCCCTCCAAACCCCACAGCCTTTCCAACCAAAGACAGAACCTCGCGCCCTTCACCTCCTTTGCTCACTCCTCTGGTCCCCTCTCCACAGCCATCCCAGGATGTGCTTCTTCCCCTGCAAGCCTCCCCCTCGTATTAGCCCCCTCATCCTGCTCCACCCACCTGCGCTGTGCAGAGGAAGGAACACTGAGTTTAGCATCAAAATGTCTGAGGTTCAACCCCCTTTCTTTTTTGACCAGTTGTGTGTCTTTGTGACTTTCGTGCTCTGAGCTTCAGTTTTCTCACCTGATAAATGGGTCGATCATTCCCGCCTTCTTCACCAACTGTTTGTTTTCTTTAAATTCTTATGCAACTTCAGAGAGTTAAGCAGTTTTGAGCATGAAAAAAAATGCTGAACATGGGCAAAGAATCATAAAAAATGACAACTCATTAATTATAATTTAGTAGCTAAGGGAAAAGGAAACCAAAGGGTGTCCTTCCCAGGCCCTGCTCGAGCAGGAAGAGAGCAGCAGGCAGGGGCATGTCCCTGTTGTGTTTTTCTTATCTTTTTTGAGTTTTCCGTTTTTCTTGCTGTACAAGTAGTATATGCTCACTATAGAACTTTGAAGAATACAACCAAGCAAAGAGAAGGATCTAAAAATCACCTGAGATTCCATCTCTCTAAGGAGTAGGTTCCTTCCCTAAAACTCAGGGAGGGCCTGGCCACAGAGGGTTTAGGAGGGCAGTGTTGGGTGATTGACAAAAATGGCGACAGCTCTAGTGATGGGCCCAAAGGCTGGGGATGAAGGAGCTGCTTAGCCAATTCTTTTTAACAAGCATAGAAGGAAACCCAAGTCCAAATGAACATAATAAAGATGATGATTCTCTCTTTTTAAAAAAAATATCTTTTTATTGATATTTTACAGAGAGGAAGGGAGAGGGATAGAGAGTTAGAAACATCGATTAGAGAAAAACATCGATCAGCTGCCTCCTGCACACCCCCTACTGGGGATGTGCCCGCAACCCAGGTACATGCCCTTGACCGGAATCGAACCTGGGACCCTTCAGTCCCCAGGCCTACGCTCTATTCCCTGAGCCAAACTGGTTAAGGCATGATGATGATTCTCTTAACAGCAACTGACATTTATGAAGCATCCTCTTCCTAAGTGTTAGCCCCTGTGCTAAACACTGGACATACATTATGACATTCAGTTAAGACAAAAATTATACAGTGAGTGTTCTTCTGATCCCTATTCTATGATGAGGAAATGGAAGCTCAGAGAGGTTAAGTAATGTGTCCAAAGTTCTCAGCAAGTGAGATCCAAACCCAGACCTGGAAGAACCCACAGTCTGCACGTTTATGCACTAGGATAGCCCCTTCATCTCCCCTGGTAGCATCACCTTCTGACCCTCCAGCTGAGGTTCCACTCCTTCACCCATTTGTTCATTAAGAAACACTTGCTGCCCTAGCCAGTTTGGTTCAATGGATAGAGCATTGGCCTGTGGACCAAAGGGTCCCTGGTTCAATTCTGGTCAAGGGCACATGCAGGAGGCAACCAATCTATGTGTATCTCTCACATCAGTATTTCTCAGTCTTTCCCTCGCTCTTCCACTCTCTCTAAAAATCAATGGAAAAATATCCTCGGGTGATGATAAAAAAAAAAAAAGAGGGAAAAAAAAACACTTGCTGGGTATAAATCATTGGCCAGAACACTGGAGACCCAGCAGTGAATAAGGTAGACATGTTTTCTGGCCCCATGGAGCTCACAGGCTGCTAAGGGAGGAGCTATTTTTTTTGGATGCTGGTAAAGGAGGGGCTACTTTGAGGATCCTATGGGGCAGAGTCCAGTAGATTAAGAAGAGTGTTCAGCGCGAGGGTTCCATTTGGGAGATGGAGGAGGAAGAGTCCTGGACTAGAAGCAGGGACTGGAGTTCTGTACCCAGCTCTCTGTGTGGCCATGAGGAAGTTTTCTCTTCTCTGGCCCTTGGTTTTCCTACAAGTAAAATAAGAAAACTGAACCAGTTTCCCTGGTCAGTCACTATGAAGGTAGCTCCCAAACAGGGCCCATACAGTAGCAACCTTGTTGGAAGAAGCTTCCATTCCTTCCATCGTTAGGCTAGTCAGAGAGGCAGAATCTGAAAGAACTGGGTGGACCTTTGGCTCATCCAGTAGTGCACTCACTTACTAGTATCTAACCATCAGGGAGAGCGAATTAAAAATCAAATTCTCAGGCCTCACCCCAGACATCATGAATAAGAACCTGTATAAGTAGAATCCTGGAATCTATATTTTAAAATCACATCCCAAGAGATTCTTACCCACCAGTCCATGCAGCAACTGGCTTTTGTGATCCTAACCATAGAGCAAATTCTTCATAAATATTTGCAATGAATGAATGAATGGTCAAGACTCACCATCTCATTCAACAGATGAGAAAACTGAGACCCAGAGGGAGGAAGGGACCTGTCCATAGTCGAGGTTGAAAACCCAGAATGAGCAGCTACAGCCATCTGACTCAGCCCACAGTTATTTGACCCGAGGAAGGATTGATGTGGCTCTTGAAAACTCACCCCCTTTGACAATGATGTTGACGATGGATCCGATGCTTTTCTATTCATCTATCTTATCTGGTTATCAGATAACTTTTCTGGCTTCTTTCCCCCTCACAAACAATTCCTCCACCACACTCAATATTTCCCACGCCTGGCCCACTCTCTTCTCTCCTGCTCCACCTGCTCATCCTTTCAAATCCCACTCACAGGTCCACTGTGAGCCCTCCCACACTCCACCAGGTTGAGTTCTTCTGGCCTCCCTCCCCCACCCCCCTGGCTTCTCCAGCTACTTTCATCTGGGTACTTATCACGGTGCATTATAACTCTCCATTTCCATAGCCTCCCTTCCAGACCATGAGCTTTTGGAGGGCAAGAACTGTGTCTTATAAAGTTGTTACCGAGGTGGTCCAGTCTGAGTGCTCTCCCTGACAACAGAGCACCATCCAAAATGGAGCATCAAAATCATTCCAGTTCTTTCCTTTCCTTGGTCAAAAAACTTGGCAAGTACTCCACTTGCCTCTCCCACTCCCTATCCTTTCACCCCACAGTTGCTCCTTCATCTCTTTAGAACCGTCCTGAAAATGCCTTCCCTTGAAATCAGCCTCCATCCTCACTCCTCTCCCTTCCTTTTTTCTCTTTTGAGGAGACGGCAGAAGACCAAAAGAGCTGTCTTATATGACCGATCCCATTAAACAGGCAAAGCCAGAACAGCTAAACAGCAAACCCTCCTTAGCAGGAAGAGGAACCAACTTTTTTTTTTTTTTTTTTTTTTTTTGGTCTCTAGTGCCCAGCCTACAGAAGGAACCAATGAATGAGAGAATGTAGTGAGGTAGTGTCATTAGCCCAATTTTTCAAGCAGAGAAACAGGCTCACAGAGGATCAGCGTATCACTACTTTGAGAGGAGAACAGGGAATTATGGCAAAATTTGTCCCTCAAACCTGCCCAAAGTATAAACCTTAGCTCCATCCCACCCGTTAAACCATCCCAGCCCCTTTCTCAGCCAAGGTAACCTCTGAGGAGGGGCCTGGGGTCCCTCCCCTACAGGATGAAAGCTGGAGCCAGGAGTCCTGCCTGCAGGTGGGCAGTGCCTACGTCATCGTGTACTCCATCGCAGACAGAGGCAGCTTTGAGAGCGCCTCTGAGCTCCGCATTCAGCTAAGGCGCACACATCAGGCGGACCATGTGCCCATCATCCTGGTGGGCAACAAGGCGGACCTGGCACGCTGCCGGGAAGTCTCCGTGGAAGGTGAGCCCTCTGGTCCACCCTCCTCCGTATTCCTCTCAGCCCCACTGTCACTGTTCCTCCTCTAGTGTGTCTTCATCTCAGTGACTGCCTGCCACCTACCACCCCCATTCTGCATCTCCTTGCCTCTGCCTGAAAGCTAGGAACCATTCCTGTCTCCTCTCACACTCCCCCAAACCAGTCCCAAAACCCTCCCTTAACCCCACATTCCCTTCACCCCATTCCCATAGCCTCTGACCCATTCCGCTATTTCCACTTTAGTCTGGGCCAGCCCCCACCCTAATTCTGTATCCCCACTTAATGAGTTCTCAACAGCTGCCACGGTTTCCCAGAACCAGATTTGACCTTGTCACTTCTTCGCTTAAAAATTCCCATTTGGCTCTCTCATGCCCTTAGTCAGCGACACTTTATGGACCAGGCCTGATAGGCCTAGTCCTACAGGATTTTCAACTACTGAGACCTAAAAATTCCATTTATTGGCTGCCAAATAGAGCGAGAATTTATAAATTCCAAATTCAGAAAGCTTTAGTTGTCTATAAAACATGCTGTTGTGCCATCCAGCACCTGCAAACCAAAACGTTTAAGTTACTAGTATGTATAAATAGCACTAAAAGTGAGGTGGGGGTATTTTAATGGTTGGCATGTCAGACGGGACTCATAAAGATCTAAAAATGGCCCTACTTTCAGGGACCAATCTAAAAATTATGGAATCTGAGACCGAGAGAGAGAGGAAGCCAGTTCCACTGGGTCACCAGCCACTGAGGACTGGAACTCAGGTCCCTGCCTCCCAGCCCAGTGGCATCCTGAAGATGGAAGACCCTATGCTTTGTGAGCAGACCCCCAAAACTCCGTAGCACAATCCCAGGAGATTCCCTTAAAATGCAGGTTCCCAGAGCACACCCCAAACCCACTGAATCAGAACCTCTCCCCGGATGATTCTGATGCACAAATTAGACTCCTTCGCTGGCATTCAAGACTCTTCCCTACCTAGTCCCAACCCACCCCCCCCCCTCCCCCGCATCTTCCCAACCTCATTCTGCCACCAGTATCAGTCGCTAGCCTGTGCACTCCTTCCTCAAAGCCAGATCTGACTTCTTTCTGAGTGCCCTGGCACAATGTTTGGGGAAAGAAAAAAAACTGCTTCCCGTGGAGACTGAACCCTCTCTGCTTCCTACCTTTATCTCCTCCTCCACGCCCGCCCGTCCCCGCCTCCCAGAGGGACGCGCCTGCGCCGTCGTGTTCGACTGCAAGTTCATCGAGACCTCGGCCGCCCTGCAGCACAACGTGGCCGAGCTCTTCGAGGGCGTGGTGCGCCAGCTGCGCCTGCGCCGCCAGGACAGCGCCCGGGACTGCCCCGCGCCCCGACGGCGGGCGAGCTTCGGCCAGCGAGCTCGGCGCTTCCTGGCCCGCCTGACAGCCCGCAGCGCCCGCCGCCGCGCACTCAAGGCCCGCTCCAAGTCCTGCCACAACCTGGCGGTGCTCTGAGGCCCCACCCGCCCGCCCAGGGTGGGGAACACTGGGGTGCACCACGCCCTACCGACGCCACCGAGGGAGGGGCCCCGACGGGCAAAGGCGCAGTGACCTGGAGCGTGCATCGTGGGCGCATCTCCCGGAGCCACCGCTTCAGGGACCCCTCCGCCCCGGGAAGCGGTGTACGGACTATGGGACCCGACGCCCAAGCTCTGCACACAGTAGGGTTTGTTGGGTTTTGGGGGTTTTTTTTACACGATTTGTGTCTTTTTGTAAAAAACAAAACAAAACATACGACTTTTCTTTATCCTCCAGCTCTGGCCAACCCTCAGAAACACTACCCCTCTCCCCACCCCCCAAAAAACACCACAGACTAGAAGGATGTCCCGTCTGAATGCCCAGACTTCTTTGGGGTTCATCCAGGCCTCTCGACCTCCTACTCCCCCATCCACACTGGCTACCGACCGGGTTAGCCTGCTGAGCTGTGTCAGGGTCAGTCAATAAAGTCATTGGGTCTATTGTGCGTTCCCTGCCCCGGCCTCTGAGGGAGACACAGTGGAGTACAACCACAGTCAAGGGTGATGACCTCCTAGCTTCTCATTAGCCCATTTCTTTTTTAGAAGGTCCTAGATAATAAAAGGCTGATATGCAAATTGTCATTTTGACCCAGAGTTTGACCAGGGATCCGGCCAGCCCACCAACCAACTGCCCGCGGCCCCTGTCCTGGCCAGTCCCACCCCCGATCGCCCCCACCCCCGCCCCAATCCGGGGCAGGGCCGGCCTGCCAGACCCCACCCATTCATGAATTCATGCACCGGGCCTCTAGTAGAGGCATAAAACATTATCTGGAAAGAACTTTCGCGCTCATCCTGGCAATAAAATAGCTGGTGTTTGTTGGGAGCTGTCTGTGTACTAAGACGTCACAATTATTAACTAATCTTCACAGCCCCTGTTCAGTAATTAGGAAACAGAGACTCAGGACGGTGAAGGCTCCTGCTCAAATTCATGCAACTGCTACAAGGGAAGCGGCCAGGATTTCCATCTTGTCAGTCTGGAGTCTGTACCCAACTTACCCACAGTCCTCTTGGAGAATGCGACAAAAAGCTATGGAGCCCGCCCCCTCCCCCCCCCCCCCCCCCCCCCGGAAATGGACTTTCAAACACAATTGTGCATACAATTTAAGGAGGGGAGTGGACTCCGTGGAACTCAATCCATGTATCCCCAGGATGGACCCCCAATTTAGCCCAACTCATTCGTTTTTCAGAATGTAGAAACTGAAGCCCAGAGAGAGGACGTGAACACCCCAAAGCCACCCAGCCAGTGAGGGTGAGGACTAGACCCCAGGGCCCAGCCTTCTCCTATGTCTGTGCGGGAAGCAGGAGGTAGTGAGGCTTCTGGCTGGGGATGGGGTCTTGGGGTCAGGGCAGGAGTTTCCAGCGTAAGGTGAAGGGGTGTCACTAATTTGAAAAGAGAACAAGATGTAAACAGTTTGGACCACGTGTCCCTGACTCCTGACACCACTGCCCCCAAACAGCTGCCCTTCCAGATGCCTCATCCCCTCCCCCACCCACGTGGGCCCTGTCCGTGCCACCAGGAACAGGGTGCCAAAGAAGAGTAAAGCAGGGGCAGGCAAGCCATAGCCCGCAGCTGTGACATTCACCCCCCACCCCCAACCATCTTGCCAGCCAGGCACTGATGGCACGGATTTCCCCATCCCAGCTCCAGCCTGGGGAACGGAAGGGAAAGGAAGGGAGGAGGGTCTTCCCCCACCCAAGCTGTCCCCAGCCTGTGGCCATGGGGGAGGGGCTGTAGTTGTGGAAAGTTGGCAGAGGCAGCCGGCAGCAGCCGGGAGAGTGGAAAAAATGATATCAAACCCGGAAAAATGCAGGCCGGATGGAGGGCCTGAGTCGGCCCTGGGAGGTGAGAAGGAGGGAGGGCAGAAGAGAGGGAGGGATGGGGCCCCACAGGCTGAGAAAGGAAGAAGGGCCAGGGAGAGAGCACAGGAGCAATTTCTGAGAAAACTGAAGACTCTCCTATCATTCCTTTCTTCATCCACTAATACTTATCCAGGGCCTACTACGTGCAGGACACAGTGCCAGGCTCTGGGGAGATGGCAATGAATAGAACGAGTAGGACGCTGTTCCTGGAGCTCACAGTTGGGGGGGGGGGAGGGGAGCAGATGGAAAACAAGTGAATAAAATAATTACAAACTTAGAAGGAGCTAAAAGTCAGGGTGGTCATAGAGGGCTCTAAAGACAGTCCAATCCACTCAGCTCACAGGTGGGGCAACTGAGGGCCAGAGAGGGAGAGGGCTTACCTGAGGCTCCTGGGAGTGTGAGAGAAATCACTGAGACCAGGATTGGGGCCTGGGGAGGTGGGGGAAGTGGAATGGGAGGGAAGAAAGAAATAGTGCCAATATGGGGTGGGGGTGGGGGGGGGGCGGGAATAGTATGCAGCCAGAACCATGGTTGAGGTCAAGGACCCTGAACCAGGGGATCTGTGTTCAAACCCTACTCTCCTGCACCTCTGTGTGCCTTAGTTTCCCCATCTGTAAAATAGGATTCATGACAATTCCTTCCCTGAGAGTTGATGTGAGGATTAAATGACTTATGATGTGTAAAGTACTTAAAGCAGTTCCCACAGCTAGGAAGATTCAGTAAATGTTGATTCCTGCTATCTATCTATATAAAAGCCTAATATGTTAATTGTTCCTCTGACTGTTCAACTGTTTGACCAGTTGCTATGATGCACACTGACCATCAGGGGGCAGATGCCCTGACCCGTAGGTTAGCTTGCTGCTGGGGTCCTGCTGATCGGGACTGGGTGAGACAGGCCGGACACACCCTGGAGCTCTCCCTTGGTCTCTCCTTGACCCCAATTGTGCACTGGTGGGGTCCCTCGGCCTGGCCTGCACCCTCTCACAATCCAGGACCCTTTGGGGGATGTTGGAGAGCCAGTTTCAGCCTTATCCCCACAGGCCAGGCCAAGGGACCCCACTGGTGCACGAATCCGTGCACCAGGCCTCTAGTTATATAATAAGACCTTGGGGAAGCCAGGGTTTGTTGAGGGTAGGGTATTCTGAGACTGTGAAGACTTGCTTGAAGTCCTTGCCCTGCTATGACACTGGAGAACTTTAGGAAAATGTCTTCCCCTCTTGAGCCTCATTTCCCCACACATGAAATAAAGGGATTGAAACTGAACTTGTATTACATACTCATGTACTCATGGTTACTGCCTGCCTCCCCCACAGGAATGAAGGCCCCGTGAGGGCAGGGCCCTCAATGCTGCTCTCTCCTGAGCAGTTACAACAGTGCCTGGCTCAAAACAGGCAATTGGTAAATATTTGTTTAGTGTATTAATTAGCCAATCTGTAAAATGGCCCTTCCAATCCTGACCTCTCTGATTCTAAGAGTCTGTGAATGAGGTATGGGTGGGAAAGCATGTGAGGAAACCACAATATTCCTCCCAGGGACATGGCCAATTATAGTCTAGAAAGTTCTTTCTCATCCATAAAAACATACTGGGGGAGGGAGGATGCTAACTTTGTTTTAATACTTTCTGTGTGCTAGGCCCCATGCTATGTGCTTGCTATGCATTTTCTCATCTCATCACCACCATACCACCCACTTAGTAGGTACCATTTAAAGATGAGCCTATTGAGGTTAAGAGAACCCAAAAAATTTGTCCAGGACCACATAGCAGAAAAGGGCATTCAGGATTTACTCTCAGACTAGGGAGAAACTTCTGTCTTCATTATACAATTGGGGAAACTGAGGCCCAGAGAAAGGAGATGAATTGCCCAAAGTCATCCTATCTAATAAAAGAGAAACATGGTAATTGGCGTATGACCACTACCCTTCCCATTGGCTAATCAGGGAAATATGCAAATTAACTGCCAGCCAAAATGGCGGCTGGCAGCCAGGCAGCTTAAAGTGAACATGAGGCTTGCTTGCTTCAGTGACGGAGGACTCCAACGTTCCCCGCCTGCCACTGCAGGCCTCTGAGCTGCAACTCTAAGCAACTATGTTACAAATATAGAAGCTAAACAAAACCCCAGAAACCTGCTTTAGTCCGTGGGGCTTCAGCCATCAGGATCACAACATTGTTTCAAATACAGAAGGTAAACAAAGGCCAGAAACCTGCTTTCAGCAGCGGAGGCCTAAGGGCTGAAGCCAAGCCTCAAAGCTAAAGCTGGCCCAGAATTAAAAAAAAAGAAAAAAAGGAGCGGTTGGGAGCTTCAGTCACTCGCCAGCCTGAAAACAGCCCTCAGCCCCTCACCCAGACTGGCCAGGCACCCCAGTGGGGACCCCCACCCTGAAGGGTGTGTGACCAGCTGCAAACAGCCATCATCCCCTCACCCAGGCTGGCCAGGCACCCCAGTGGGGACCCCCACCCTGATCCAGGACACCCTTCAGGGCAAACCAGCCGGCCCCAACCCGTGCACCAGGCCTCTATCCTATATAGTAAAAGGGTAATATGCCTCCCAGCACCGGGATCAGCAGAGCCGCGAGATCTCCCGGCACCGGGATCAGTGTGACAGGGGGCAGCGCCCAAACGCCCTGATCGCCCTGCAGCTCTGTGTGTGACAGGGGGCAGGGCCACAACCTCCCTACCCACCCTGCTCTGTTTGTGACAGGGGAAGGCACCCCAACCCCCTGATTAGCCCTGCTCTGTGCCTGATAGGGGGAGCTCCCCAACCCCCTGATCACCCTGCGGCTCTGTGTGTGACAGGGTGAGGCGCCCCAACCCCCTGATCGGCCCTGCTCTGTGTGTGATGGGGTAGAGCCATAACCTCCCCATCGGCCCTGCCTGAGTGTGACAGTTGTGGTGCCCCAACCCTCTGATCGGCCCTGCTCTGTGGGTGATAGAGGGCGGCACCCCAACCCCCTGATCCGCCCTTCTCTGTGTGTGACGGGGGCAGTGCCCCAACTCCCCTATCGGCCCCACTCTGTGAGTGACAGGGGGGAGCTCCTCAACCCCCTGATCGGCCCTGCTCTGTGCCTGACAGGGGGGAGCTCCCCAACCCCCTGATGGGCCCTGCTCTGTGCGTGACAGGGTACGGAGCCCCAACCCCCCTGATGGGCCCTGCTCTGTGCGTGACAGGGGGTGGCGCCACAACCTCCCCATCAACCCTGCCTTGAGTGTGACAGCCGGCGGTGCCCCAACCCCCCAATCGGCCCTACCCTGAGCGTGACTGAGGGTGGCATTGCAACCTCCCGATCTGCCCTGCTCTGTGCATGACAGGGGCGGCGCCCCAACTCCCCAATCGGCCCTGCTCTGAGCCCGACCAGGGGCTGCACCTAGGGATTGGGCCTGCCCTCTGCCACCCTGGAGCAGGCCTAAGCCAGCAGGTCATTATCTCCCGAGGGGTCCCAGACTGTGAGAGGGCACAGGCCGGGCTGAGGGACCTCTCCTCCCTCCCGAGTGCACAAATTTTTGTGCACCGGGCCTCTAGTCCTATATAATAAAAGCCTAATATGCAAATCAACTGAATGGTGGAATGACTGGTCGCTATAACGCATACTGACTCAACGCAGGAGCTGCCCCTAGCCCACAGGCCCCAGGCCAGCCAAGGCAGGTGCCAGCAGGGCCCCACCCCCAACCCCCGATCACCCTGCCTGCCACCCCACAGATCGGCCCTGATCACTGACCAGGCCTAGGGACCTTACCCATGCACGAATTTCATGCACCGGGCCTCTAGTGTAATAATAAGAGCAAACAATCATATCACTCTTATTATGTATCAGGTGCTGTGCTAAGTGCTTTGCGTATATTAAATCCTCAAAACTGGTCAGTATTGCCCGGCTGCGATGGCTCAGTGGTTGAATCTATGAACCAGGAGGTCACAGTTCTGATTCTCCGTCAGGGCACATGATGGGATTGCTGGGACGATCCTTGGT